GCGGGCGGTCCGACGGCGCAGGCTCGCCAACACCACCTGGCGGGCCCAGCGGAAGAACTTCGACCTCCACGGCAGGAAGAAGTAGCTTCAGCAATCTGTTTGGCTTGAGTTCAAGATTTCGTCAGAACTCCGAGCCCCATTCGCCCCGGCATGGTTCACCTGCTCACGGGTTTCTAGGAAGCTCAGGCTTGTCATCGCACCAGAACTCGATGAACATCAGCCGGGAAACACTCATTCTACCAGAGCGTGAAGAAGGCGAGACGCCTGGACGATACCTGGAACGAATCGAGGCGAATAACTTCGATAAGAGCGTCGTTGCCAGCTACCTAAGCAAGACCGATGACCCCTTCCTGCTTGCCGTACTTAGAAGCTACATGCGGAAGTTTGCCTTCTTTGGCGACCCAATCGACATGGCGATTCGCAAGTTGCTCATGCAGGTTGAACTACCCAAAGAGACACAACAAATTGACCGTGTCCTTCAGGGTTTCGCCGACCGGTATCACGAATGCAACCCCGGTATCTACATCAACACAGACAAAGCCTACTTCATATCTTTCTCCATTATCATTCTTCACACAGACGTCTTCAACAAGAACAACAAACGGAAAATGCAAAGGCCCGACTACATCAAGAACTCGTCCTGCGATGGTGTCTCGGCTGACGTCCTCGGCTGCTTTTACGACAACATTGTCTACACTCCATTCATTCACATTGAAGACGAGGTTGACCTAAAGAACATCACCTCGAAGAAAAGCAAGAGAGTCGCTGTCCTGAAAGGACCAATGAACGACCCGGCGCGGAAAGCCGCGAAGGAGCCCATCGATCCGTACACATTAATCTTTGAAGGCAAGCTGGACGCGCTCCGACCCACGATCCGAGACGTAATGCAACTGGACGATCCGTACAACTACACCGGCACGACTGCGACGCTAGACACCAAGAACATCTACAAATTGTTCTCCAAATACGGCGTGATACAGATTGTCTCCTCGCGATCGAGACCGGAAGCCTTCATGTCTGAAGCTGCCCAAGAGAATCCCTTCGGAACCTCGGTCGGCATCGTCGAAATGCCAGTGACAAAAGTGGGAGTTTTGTGGAGAAAGGACACGAAGAAAAAGAAGGCCCGATCGCCATGGCAGGAATGGGGCGCCGTTCTCACTCGATCGGGGTTGTCTCTATTCCGGAATTCTACTTGGACGAAGAACTTGATGAGCCAGCACGAGCAACACCTCAAACGCGGCGACACAGGCCCGGTCATATTCCAACCTGCCCTACCCGACTTCAAGCAAGACCACATCATCCCGATGGACGGTGCGGTTGCGCTTGTCGATGCCACATACAAGAAACATAAGAATGCGTTTGTCATGTTCTCCAAGGCAGGCGAGGAGACATTCTTGGCCGACAACGAGAAGGACCTGAACGAGTGGCTGGGTGTGCTGAATTATACTGCTGCGTTTGAAACACTGGGTGTTCGGTCAAGAGGCATGATTGGTGGGCTGTACGAAGGCCAGAAGAACCGTGGCATGCGGCGCCTGGAGTCATCCCACTCGACCAAGACGATACCAACAGCCACTGGCGAAGTTACCGTAACAAGTGGTAAGATCGACAATCAGTTTGCACAACAGATGATGAACGCTAGGAAAGATCTCATGCAGGTGCGCATTACGGAGTCCGAGGACAAGCTCACCAATGCTATCAAAGAGCTGGAAGCACGCTTACGAGATGCAAGACATCTCCAAATTCTTGCGCCCATTCAACCGAAAACTCGCGAACTGGTAATACACGCTGCCGGTCGGTTATCAGCCAAGCTTAAGTGGACCCGTATCGACATTTGGCGGATGAAATGTCATCGTGACATACTTGCTCAAGAATTGGAGGACGAGAGAAAAGGCCTCGCAGATAAACAAGCGCAAGATGACCAGCCCTCGGAATTTATTCAACAGCCGCAAGTCTCGCCTCAACAGTTGTCGCACAGAGCGTCAAAAGTTAGCGGACTAGCGCGGTTGACTTCCAAGACCAGCTCAATGAACAGCGGCAACAAGCAAGCTCCATTGTCTCCTACCTCACCGGGCCGTCCAGGGACCAAGTCCTCTAGGGAGACTGAATTCGGTGGAGATGAAGCATTCAAGACACCACCGGAGACATCTCGGCAGTCGAGCCCCAGGGATCCATCGGCCCAATTTCAACCTGGACCTATGTTTGACCCTGGCTCATCTGATCGTCGAAGCTCATTTGCGAGCTCCTCGGCACATTCTCCGAGGATGTATCCCTCCGATCACAGGCCTTCAATATCAACGACTGGCGATGGCACAATAGGCTCCGATTCTGATTCTGACTCTGAGGACGGGTCTCGGTACGCGACTCCGCCTCCAGGCGAGGCGGGTGATTTGGAGCCCATGTCACCAGAGCCGACACCTGGAGAGAGCCCCCGACCAGAGCCTGTCATTGATTCTGACTACGAACAATCCCTTGCTGCTTTGACAGGATCGCCCAGGTCTCACACTAAGCAAAGAAGAAGTCTACAGCGCACTCTTCGAGAGTCCCGTGGCAGCTCTTCTCACCGCCGCAGCCACAAGAGCAGAGACTCGTCGTCGACAATCACACTCGCGAGTGACAATACCGAGAGCGAGGGACTGGCGCGCGGCAAGGGCAGCTTTACAGTCCATGGCAAGAAGGCATCTGTGATCCAATTCGGCTCCGACTGGCACAACACCACAGCCGAAGAGCGCTTGGCGGCGAAGAAACAGCTCCAGGAGGCTGCCGAAGCGATCTCTGCCGATGAGCGGGATGGCACGGCAGCTGCGCTTTCTCCAGGAAGCGAAGACAATGACCCGTTTCGCCCCCGGAAGTTGTCGGCAGGCACCACAAAGCAGCGACACGTATCGTCTCAGACGATAACGCCAGCAAACTTTCGCGAGTCCTTTAGAATAGAACAATCTGACTCTGACAGCGAGTCTGACATGAGCGACATTGCCGAAGAGACGCAACGAACGTCCGACGACCAACCAACGATGAAGGGCAAAGACCCTGTTACCGAACACGTGGAACGGCCTATACATAATCTCGAGGCCTCACCAGCCTAACACAAACTCCTCTCTTCTCTTATTTCCTTCGCATTCTGGATTTCAAAAGTGGATTTATGGTCATACCAGCATCGCTTGAGCGGCTTCTGTTTCTCCTTTGTCTATTCTACATACTCTTCTTCGGAACTTGTACGCACAAAGCATGGCGCATGCGGGCATTGAATTGGAAACGCGACGGGGGCGCTTTTATACATGCATAGACGGACTCTCGGATTGGCGTTTGCTCGAGATTAGGATTGATGGAAAGCAAAGTAGGGCTTGGTGTCAGGGCATACGGTCGATACCAGTGTTGCTGCTGTTTGTATGTGAATTACGATGTTCCCTTCGTGGATCAAAATATCGAACTACCGACTTATACGTGTGCTGTTATGGTGTTCAGTGCCGTTGTGCCGGCTCCGTGATGATGGCGCTAGTACGAATCAGTTACCCAGCCTTCCAGAACCGTTTCCCGTTACCAATACCGACTCCTCCACCACACCTCAACTGGTATGCATGACCGCGGTACATGACTGCGCTTCAATCGCGCACCCACATGTCTGCAAAAACCCGCCCGCCCTGCGCCTCAATCCCCTCACCTCGGGCAGAGCGGCATTGAACACCTCCTTCTCACCCTCCTGAACCCCATCCTGCATACCCTCCTGAAGCTATCCTGCATGCCCTCCAACAGCCAAACCGCGTTTCGCATGTCCGCCAAAAACCAGGCCCCACTCCACGATGCACAATAGCGACCCACCTGCTATTGGTAGAAACAGAGAGGTTCTCGGAGCTCGGCAGCCGCCTTGGGCCTAAGCGAAGACGGTATCGATCATCTCAAACCAGAAACGTCGCGTCGGCCCCTACCAGGTGGACGTGACAGCCCTGTCAGAAATGTCGCGAAGTGTTTTGGTCGTGAACTGGTGATACAGGGAGGTGTGCCTTATTGCCGTTTACGCGCCTGAGGGGGTATGATCTCACGATGGTAGGTTGTGGTTTTTATATAAGAGAAGGGTGTGGCCGCCGTTGTGGGTTTTCGAGTATCGATCTTTCGTCGGTTTCGTCGTTCGCCCTAGTCAGTCTTTACACTTACGTTCTCTTTTTCGTTCTTTTGCTTGCCCTCCGGTTAGGGTACTTTACCTTACTTTTATTGAACGCTCGTTGATTATCACTATACCCATTCAACGTTGTTATATATTTCTTGTCGTATACATACAAGACGGAATCTTCGAAGACGAACACGAAGATGTACACCCACGCCTTCACCGTCCTCACGCTCCTCAGTGGCCTTGTCATTGCTGCTCCTACCGCCAATATCATACCCCGTCAAGGCAACGCCTGCTTCATCATCGGCAACGAAGCCCTCCCAGGCGAGACGGCCACTGTAGTCCAACAAATCCAAGACAAGGTCACCTGCGACGCCAACGCAAAGACAATCGAAAACGTCCCCGACGTGACCTCCGGTGGCCAAACCTTCTCCAAGATCAACTTCGCTGCCTCTGGTCAAAAACCAATGGAATTCGCCACCAGCACCTTCTTCACCGCTGTACCACTTGCCGACTCCAACCTCGAGGCTTTCCAGGACGCGCTCAATGTTTACCTAGCCACTGAGGCCGGTCTACGCAGCTCAGGAGGCAACTTCGGAATCATCAAGGCGCCCAAGTTCTTCCTCGAGATGCAGATTTCGAGGATCCAGACTGCGAGGGGCCAGCCGCCTACCGACCCAGCTCAGCAGGTCGACCACTTGAGGGACAAGGTTATCGAGAACAACATCAGGGAAGATCAAGCCGTTATGGATCAGGTTACCCAGTTGGCTACTCAGCTCTCGTAGGGGGTGCAGTAGTCGTTGGTAGGGCAGATGGAAGAAGGATATTGGACATGAATACCTGTGGCCAATATGTAGCAAAACCGTCAATTAATCACATGATACCCGTCACGTTTTGTTCACAACTTGCTCTCGCTACTACCTCCCACCTTCCCCCTCCAGCCCGTCAACGTAGCACCGCCATCCATCTCCACTGCGTTACCCGTGATATGCGCACTCGCCTTACTGCTCAAGAACAAGACCAGCCCACCAAAGTCACTCGGCTTGCCAATGCGGCCAGTCGGCTGACCCGCTGTCAACGCATCTGCGAATTTCTCCAGCCCAAAGTTCGTCATGCGCGAAGGGAAAACGCCTGGGCAAATGACGTTGACCATGATATTCTTCGGGGCGAGTTTCGAAGCTTGCATCTTAGTGAGGTGGATGCATGCTGCCTTTGCCGGGCCGTCTAGATATTTCGTTAGTAAAAAGCAGTCTGGTAAAGGAAGTAATTGGAACGTACAGCTATAAGTCCCAGTCCCCGGATTACTCAACCCCCCACCCTCGCCCGTCGTAACATCCACAGTCGTAATACCCGCCATACTAGCAATATTAATAACCCTGCTAGGATTATGCGCATCCGCCCCCTTAGCCAACAACCCCTCACACTCGACCGTCATATAAAATATACTCTTCACATTCAACGCATACAGCTTATCCCACGCATGTTCCGGATAGTTGTAGTAATCGTCGCCCCAGCTCGCGCCCGTGTTGTTCACCAGCACCGTCAGGCGGTCCGTTTGCTTCTTCAGCTCCGTGCAGAGGGCGAGGCAGCCGGCTTTGTCTTTTAGGTCTGCGACAATGTAGGAGCATTTTCCGGGGCCGAGGGCGTTGAGGCGCGCGGTGGTGGAGGCGAGTTCGGATTCTTTGCGGGACGCGATGAAGACGCGCGCGCCGTTTTGGATGAAGGCTTGTGCGGCCATTTCGCCCAGGCCGGTCGCGCCGCCTGTTACGAGGACGACGTGCGAGGTGTAGTCGAAGAGCGTGCTGACGCGCAGGTCGTCTTTGGAGGCGGCGTGCGTCATCGTGGGTGGTGGTGTGGATGGAGGGCTGTAGGGTGGCTGAGGTGAAAATGGGTGTAGTTGTGAGGACGATCGACTTTAGGCAGGCTTCAGGGAGGTATGTGTATATGCACAAAAATGCGCAGACGCGTCAAGGTCGATTCAGCCATGTCGGCAGAGCTGTGGTGGAGAGATGGCATGGACCTCGGCATCTTGAAGCTGTTTGCGGGGTGCTAGCGTCACTTGCGAACTCCACTGTGACCATTCGAGATATCGGTACGTTTTCTTCGATTTGCACTCAACCCGTAATGATGTGATTCTGAAACGTCTTTACATACGGACCTCCCATCGTACCACTCTGGAGGCGTCCTCTTCGCTGCTTGTTCCACGCTCGGCTTTCAGGTTGTCCAGCATCTCTACTGGGTTCTCTACGAGGTATACGTTACTGAGTGGCGTTCCACGAGTGTAGACAGACCGAGGATGTGTCCAGCTACCAACACCAAAGACCCACTTTGTTGGGGGTCGGTCCTCTGGGTTCTCTGCACAGTTAGGGTCATGCTTGATCGCTTCCTTGAGGTATCCAATGGCGGCGTCTATATCCCCAAGGGCTTTGCAAACGACATGTGCCCTGAAGCTCAACAGAGATTTGAGCTTGCCAACTTCAAGCTGCCATTTTTTTGAAGCTAGCGACGCTTCTTGCGCACACATGGGCTGATCGGATAAGAAACTGATCATCTCTTCAGCATCCTTGCGCGCTTTCTGGAGCAATGCCACACTGTCAGATGAACCCGTTGAGAATCTTGGAAATGCGATACTTCTCAGGTTCGCAAGCGAACCCCTTGAACCCTCCTCTTTCGACTCCAATATACCTGCGCGATGGCAGAGGGCTTGTATTTCGCCTGCAGCGATGTCGCAAGTCTGGAGCCATAATTCAAGAACCCCGTCTCTCGATGTGTCGTTGCGTATGTCGTCGGAAAGATATGCATAGGCCATACGAGCATGCTTGATATCGTCCAGATGGTCAAGACAGTAAATAGCAGGCCGCTCTCTCATCAAGTGCTCTCTTAACTTCATGGTCCAAGGAGAAGTGATCATGTCATTGGTGCTCACAATGTGAAATCTAAGGCGGGCCTTCGAAATGGGAAGCAGCAGAGGTTCAATGAGGATCTCTTGGGCTCGTTCAAGCGTGTGTGAGAACGTCTCAAAAAGCGACACATATAGGGAAGTGCTTCCGAACCTGACGCAGGTTAAGATCCGCCTTCATGGTATAATGAGAACTGCAATTACTCACCGATTTTGATGACCTTTGCCAATACGGATCAAGATCGGCAGGCTCGAGGCTGGCAGCAACAAACACGATGTATTCTCCATAGGACCGGGGTAGAGGTTGCGGGTCGTGTGAAATTCGAGTTCCATTGCCACAGGAAAACCTGAAAAGTCCTTCTTGACAATCTCATCGCAGGATTGCAGTTGTGAGATAAGTGGTACGCGCGGGCAATCCACCCGGCGGCCGCGGGAGTTGTAGGTTGGACACCCGGGTAGCACGGGTATTGTTTTGTCGAAGATGCTCCGAAGAAACTTTGGATGATTACTTTTGACAACCACGCACAGTTGGAGTCTCAAAAACTGGAAGATCTCTGCGTTGATTTGCCGGCTCAATGTAAGCAGCTTACATAATGGCGATGAGGGTGCAGACGCCTGGGGAGGTACATCTAAGCGGCGGGTTCTTCGAGCCACACTTCCCATCTCGGCATCTGAATGATACGGATCGTTGTATCCAGCTGGAGTGTAGGTCAAGAGCTCGTGATAAATATGCTCACGGATTGTGATCGGTAAAGTCTGGAAAGTATTCATTAAGAGAGGCTGATGGCGGTAGTACTGTCGTGAAGAGATAGTGGTGTGTCTCATAATTCGAGAAGAAAAGGCGATGTAGCCTGCAAGTATACCTATAAGGCTCTAGCGTGGTCCCAACCGTATGATTAGGCAACCAAGATCCTTAGACTTGCACGCCTGACAGATGACTCACGTTATACCTAAATTGGGCTGTAGTGATATGTACCTCCTATCGAATGCTGCAGCTTCATGCAAGGCGAAATGACGTGTTGTGCTGCGCCTAGGTAATTACCTAGGTACAAAAGCGCCACTCGCGTCCACCATGGTTATAGCCAAAACACTTGCTGCTCACCCCAGGTAGGTAAGCGCAATGATCCAACTACCTGTCGAACTCCAACGGGGTTGCATCGATTTCCTTTCCGACGATTTGGCGACGCTTAAGGCCCTTCGCCTGGTAAACAAAGGATTCCACGAATTGGCCTCCGAGAGTCTCTTCCGCACAGTATCCTTCACGAACGTCGGAAACAGCCCTGAAAGATTCTTGAATATCATTCATTCCTCTTTACAAAAGCATGTACGTCATGCCATCATCAATACTTCCGAGCACCCCGACAGGGAGCAGAATGAGGAGGATGAGGATGAGGAGCAGGATGACGACGATGACGACAACGGGAGATATCTAGCGGATGGACCAGACATCCTCTGTACCTTCGCTGACGCCATCACACAACTTCCACAGTTGGAGAGTTTGAAGCGGACAGAGCTAAAGTTCTCGAGCATTTGCACCGTGGAGGACTACACTCACACCAGATACAGAGATACTATGCTGCAGATTAGAGAGGATGAAAATTTCCGGGCGAAGATCCAGGACCTTTGCTTCCAGGCTTTGGCGCAAAGCGAGAGCTTCGAGAGTCTTACGATCCAGAACTTGCAGGATGCAATGCCTCAGGATGTTATGGAATCAAAAAGCTTCCTGGCCGTGAGAGAGCGCTTGACAGAATTGCGACTGAGAATTCTGAGGTACCACGTGGAACCGGAAGGTGGACAGAGCACCTATGCTGATGCGCAGCACAATGGTCTAAGGCGATTTCTCCCGAAGTACTGGTTGAAGCCCACCACCAACCAACTCACACGGTAAGTCTCTCTGTACAAGTCTCGAGCTATCTGTGAGTCATGTTCTGATTTTGCAAATAAATCTCTAGTCTTACGCTCGATTGCGACTGCCTCTGGGGCGTCTGGCCTTTCACGGACTTCCGAGAGGTCGAACCGTTTCCACACCTCAAGTCGTTGTGTTTTGGCAATTGGACCATCGCGCATGACTGGCAGGTCGACTGGATCGTCGCGCATGGAGCTACACTGGAAACTCTACTTCTTTGCGGTTGCGGTGTTGTTCGTTATCTGGCTTTGCTCGACAGGGGAATGAAAGCGAACTTCCCTCAGCTGCTTCCACAAACGGGTGACGACGAGACTGATGATGAGGATGACGAAGGGAGTGATGATGAGGGTGACGATGAGTTTGACAGCTTCGGTCTTTCTTATGGACCTGAATGGGAGATGGAGCCGGATATTCGTTGGCATCATCTATTCGAACGCTTCCGAGTTGGCCTCCAACGTCTTCGGTACTTCAAGTCGGGCTATTCGCAGGATTATCCCTTCGATAGCCGCTACAACATGCGGCCCGATCACCCCATGAATGCTTACTACTCCCTTGACTGTCGCAAACCACCGGGATTCGAGCCAATCGGGTGGGACGTCTACGAGCCTGAACTTGAAGAAGAAGCTCAGCGTAGGCAAGAGACAGACCTCCAGGAGGAGGATCGGCGTGCTCTGACTGCACTGATGGAGACAGTGGAACAACGGGTTGTTGAAGCTATTTGAAGTCGACCAAAAATGCAACATCATGTCGACTTATAGATGCTTTTCTCGTGCAAGATTTTCCCCACCAGGGGTGGATAGAAGTCATGAAGCACTTTGCCGCTTACATACATCTCAATCTTGATAAGTTAGTAGTCTCCAAGATAAGGTATACTTCTCGGAGAGCCAAATGATATCCTAGGAGAATGTGACACAAGTTGTAGCCACCCCTAGTTGACACATCTTTTCAAGAACGGTCCCAGACGGTAGCCGAGTACTATCTCGGTGTGTTCATTGCTGAAGGCTCCCGAACTCCGCAATCGCGCAGTCTTTTCCCTGAAAAGAAACTGAGAGCGTCTTGCTAGGTTTGCCAGATTCGCGTAAACTGACATCGAAGACACCGGGTACAACCATAGGCCTTCTGAACTGCACCTCCATCCATGAGGAAGTGGTGAACGGTGGCTGCAAGCTTTTCGAGTCCGTCAGTAGATGTAGAGCTTTAGCGACTGTGTGATTTCCATGCGCAATCTTTCCAGGTAGACCAAAGGCCTTCGCCGCCGCTCCCGATAGATGAATGAAGTTGTAGTCCTTGCAAATCGCAGCCCATTTCAGCGGGTCGTCGACTGACATCGATACCTGTGTGGTGCTCTCAGGCATCTGTGGTATCGCCATGCTAGACTTGGTCTCATGTGAACTGTTTAGGATTTTCTTGGACTGTGACTTTCTTAGTTCTAGCATGGTGAAGATCTGGCGAAAGATGATATCCATAGTTCCATCCTTCCTACCAGTGGGAGTGGTGGCCACGACCTCCAGATCCCACTCGATGCCTCGTTTTGCTGGTCTTGGGTGGTTACTTGCAATCGCCTTCAGACGGGCTGTTCGTAGATCCACAAGTCTCGACAGGTCGCATAGGTCGGGGCGTAATAATTCGAACCTATTGCGCACGTTGACTGCGCCTAGTGGATTGATGGGACACCAGGGACTGGCGAGTAGAAGTAGCATTGCGGGCTCGGTCATGGCTGAAAGAAACAGCATAAGGTGCGGTGCTGAGAGCTCTTCTCCTGTGTTGCTTGTTCCTCCAACTGCTGATTGATACCGAACAACATCGTCTGCATCTAGAGTGAATGGGGAGTCAAGCTCTAATGCTGAAAGCTTGATGCGCGGAGACCCGGGAATTGTGTAAAAGGTTGATTTTGCTATCATTGACAGGATCGCTAGCACGACCTCCCCCATGCGAAGTGAGGCTGGGGAAAATGCCAGAGTGACTCTTCTTGGGCTAAACAGCAATGGCGTCAGGCGGTACCCGAACGAGACGAGCACGCCGAAAAACATGCCCGATATGAGAAATAGTGGCATACTGGAAGGCTTGCGATGAATCCGATGCTCCTAGGTACATGTGCAGGTCGTGGATGCCAGATGCAGAGGACCTCGGGAGTGCCTCCGTAGCTAGCGGCGCTGATGACGTCATCACCGATGTGGAAGGCACAAGCGCAGCACCCAGCCACCTTCATGCCCACTGCAAGTGCCACCCCTCGCATCATGCCAAAGAAGGCAAAATTTGTCAAAAGTTCTCCACGACGATCGGCCTCGTCCGTTTGCTCAACCTCTTCGACCCAGCCCTCTCCATCCAAAGCTCATCCGTCCTCGCGAGACCCACGATGGCGCACCTTCTCCAACACTTTCGATGCCCACAGTTCGGGCACTTGTTTCCGGCGCGTGCGAACGACCATATTCTCTCACCTAGAGAAATTAGCAAGTCTTGATGCGAATCACCGAGGCCACATACAACGATGACAGCACCAGCTGTAAGTCGCGTCTGGGTTTGCATTGCTTGCAATATTTCCCATCATCTGCATGCGGTCTCTCCAAAATCTGGAATGATTTCGATCCCTAGTCTTGATGAGCTGGGAAGGGCGAAAGCCGCAACTAAGAGGCGTGTACAATCCGTTCAAAGGCTGCGCTTGTGCAATGAAGTGTTGCCAGATTTGAAGACACTAGAGTTTGGTGCGTATGCTGAATCCCAATACTGCACCGCCGAGCATGATTTAGAGCACTGGAACAGCGCCAGAGCTTGCGCTGTCAGCTTGCGTTGCTTCGAAATTCACAGATCATGGCCAGCACGATCCGTAAACGCTGGATGTCCTACGATTCATTGTATCTCGTGCACCTGACAGCTAAGCTGTCGAGATGCGCTGTTCTTGGGCCTTGCTTTCTCGAGTTCTCTGTCACTCGTAATAGACTTAGGTAGGGCCGGACTGGGAAAGCGAGGTTATGGTGTATGGTATGACACCATGTCCTGAGGGCCAGGAAACTGACAGAGAAGACAGGCCTGAACGAAGAGCCTTAGTTGTTGAAACTTTGAGCTTGCGAATTGCTAATAGTTCTAG